ATTTCGACTATTTCGCGACTTTAGCCTTCAATGGTCGAAATGATTTCGACCATTTCGACCATTTCAGATATCCGAAATGATCCATTTCGACTTCATGTATAGACGCGGTAATATAATTTTATTAATTTAAATTTAAGAAATCAAATAATACAAAGTAAAAAAACTAAAATATTATCTATATGATTCAATATAAACAAAATTATTGTCTAGAGACATTTAAAAACCTATAAAAGACCAGGTCCTTCCAAACCAGCTGGTTGTCTTGTTGAGTTCAAAAACAAATGTATAAACATAAGTTCTATCATAAGTATAACATTTTTAAACTAATTTTTTCCTATTTATCCTTAACAGTATTTATTAATTCTTATTTTATTTTAGATAAAGGCTTTCTTTTTCAAACTTTATAATCCAAATAGTTTTACAAGTTCTTAATTAATTTAAATCTGGGCTTTGCATTACCCAATCTAAAATTGAAATATTATGAGTTGATATTTACCAAGTACTATAAGAAGATATATGACAAGATGCTCCATCTTGTTGGAATACAAAATTAGGATAATTACTAATCTAAAGTATAAAATAATTAGCAAGAACATTAACATAATTATCAGAATTCATATTTCCTTTTACTACAACCAAAGGTCTAACTTCATGTCAATTAAAAACATTACTGATCCTTCACTAAATTTAACTGTAGGTTGAATACAATCTTTTTTATAAGCTTCTCCAGAATATCTCCAAACACTTACGCGATTAAAAAGAACAAATCTAGATTCATTTGACCATATGATTTATTTCTATTCTTCATTCCAGTAACGATTTTCCTTATATCATTTAAATCTATTTTTTTGTTGTTTTTTAGTTAAAAGAGGTTTTTTACACATAGCATAACTATCAAAACCATTATCATGAAGGTATTTTCTAACAGTATTATAGTGCAAAGTAGTGTTAATTCTAGAATTTAACTTATTCATGATATTACCAAGAGGAGCAAACTGATTATCATGAATAATACGTTGTAAAACCCAATTATTATGTTGAGTAAAAATATTAAGATATTCAAGATGTTTCTCAAGTTCTGCAGAATCTGTTTCTTTATATCTTTAATAGTATTGCATACTGTATTAGGAGAAATATTTAGTTGAACTGAAAAGATTTTTTGTCTGGTGTCACTAAAATATGCACTAATAATTCTTTTATGCTACACACTTTACAGTTCATTTTCTTGTATTATGATACTAAAAGAGAAGTATAAAATATTTTATTTTTGAAAAAATTTTTTTATGTAAAATGAGGAAAAAATGCCTATTGTAAAACTGATATACCAATTTATGTGACTAAAATCTGATAATTTATTGTATGCCAGTTAAGGTTGGTAAAAATTCTAATTAGTCCTAATTAGTTCTGATTAATTTTAAAAAAAATTATTAGTTTTAAAGATTAAATTTTTTTAAATATTATCATTATATTCAATTTTTTAATTAAAATTACTTATTAAAATAAGTTTAAATTTCTTTTTAAAATTTAAAATATCTTTAAAATTTTAGATCTATGACTTAAGACCTAGAACCAGATCTTAAATTAAGTATATTTATTACAATCAACTCTTTCTATAGCGAATTTTGATATAACAAATTTCATGATATAACGGATCTATAATATGGTACAGATTTTTAAATATAGAAAAAACCTTTTTTTTGTTTAACGATACGGTACTGTCAGTATATTTATTAATTTATACAAAATTACAATATAAAAAAAGTAAAATCAAAAACTAAACTAAATAACCAACTACCCCCTATAACTACTTTTAAAGTCTGTTTGAGTCGACCGAGCATCGCCACCCCCTCCAACAGAACTACTACACGTATGTATAATGACTACAGTCATCAACAAGGGATGGAAATAAGCCATAGTCAATATTATATCATTATTTCCTTTCTAAAGTAAATTCCCGAAAATTAAACAAAAAAGTAATTCATCAACTAATGGCGACATATTTTCCAAAGAAGTAACTATGCAACTTAACCATCTACGCTAAAGAATTTACAAAAAAAAGCAACAAAAATATGACTCTACTAAGTTCCTAGCTAAGTTGTCTAGTCAATTCCAGATTACAGCAACCACCCGGCACAGGTACGCCCATATCACTAAGTTCCAATAGAGGCTCTTTGGACTATCGCTTCCAATGCTAAGATATCTGTCAATTCAGATTATAGCCGATCCCCAGTATAGGATGAGGCCCAAATCACACAGTCGATCAAGTCTGAAAAATACTGCGTAGGATTCCGCAATCTTCGACGTCAGAGATCTACAAAAAAAGAGTGTTGCCGTTTATGAAGAAAATGGAATGTCATCACGTGGATTTGTGTATCCAAAGTATATTGATTGTGATCATCAGTTAGGATACCCCTTAATATCCACTTTTTGTAGGCAAATAATTTTAAAAACGAAAAAACAAGAAAAAATATACCGTAGAGAGGTGAAGAAAAAATATTTTAACAAAAAACAACACGGTTTAGACTTCTACAGCAATTTTTATGTGGATAGGAGTTGGAAAAACAAAAAGAGGAAAATTTTTGAAAAGAGGGTTTTTTATTTTGTTTGCAGGTTAAGCCGCGGCCGCTTTTGAACAGACACTTTTTTCAAGTAAAAATTCTTGGATAAAATCCAACGAGGGAGAAAGAGTTTTATAGAAAAAATCTTTTTTTTTTTGCTTTACTAGGATCATGATAATGATTACATGGTGTGCACAGCTCACAAGTAGCCATACAACTTATTTGTGGTGAATCACAGCACCCCCTTTGGCACTTTTAAGCCCAGTGTGAGCACGTGAAGTCTAGGTACATGATTGTCAAATACCTGAGTAGACTGCCACATCACAAACCCGTGTGGGAGTGCGCATAGTACCTGTCATCATGTACATTCATCACTACTACTGGAAATTAGGGTCAAGAACAACCTAAGATGATAGCTTACACCATAGTTGCCTTGCCATACGTCAAAATCACCCAGAGAATCGAACTCTGACCTTAAAATCCTAGTTGTAATATAGGCATCACGATGGTTGAAGACAGTGCAATATCAACCACCTATAACCTGTGGCTTTTGTTCAACCCAAGTTATACAGTACATACCATTGATTTTACCCTCACAGGTATCCTTTGCAGATGATACGCACTTGTTCATTACAGACCAGCCCCACTATTGGTTTCAAACTCAATTGGTTTACGATAAGTGAGAATATCTATTACCACTACCTGTTATCAGGATGGTATGGATCTAGATGAAGCGAACTTACACCTTTTTGGTGGTAGCTACCATCACACCTTATAGACATCTCAGAGTTACCATATTCTACAAATTCGTGATCTTTAACATACATGGTTTGTATGCATCCTATGATATTCATTCTCAGAATTGAACTGATAAATCCCGCAAACTTAATTTGTTGCGATCTGCCTTGGCTAAGGGCTGAACTAGGGTCTATCGCAGTGTAACCTATG